TCTAGCTGCTGGGTTTAGGAGGAGGCTCCCCACATAAGAGTCAAGAAAATGACAGAGTCTGGGTGGGTGTTTAGGGATGGCCCGATCCCATAGGAGACAGCTACCGCATGACTCGTGGTGGAGAAGCCAGTTTCATTGAGAAGGGCCACCTGCCGGCATCTATTTCAGGATCGCCCTAAGATCATCAATCGCTGAGGTGCCCCGTGGCCCTGGGGTGCCCAGGGGCTATCAGAGGGAATTGTGGTCTTCTCACCTGCTCCGGTTCCACATCTGGAGAGCAGCCTCAAGGACCCGTGCATTCCGAAGGGTGCCTCAGGTCGGAAGGTGGTGTGCCTGCTACAGAAGTAGGCAGTACTTTTTTCCCCGCCTACGAAAAGCACAAGATGCCTATGTAATGCCCGCTGTACGGGCAAAGTGCACACTGCAGGTGGGCCGTGAGCCCACACACCTGAGAGGTCTTTGTAGGTACAGTTGTTGCCATCGGCTGGGAAGTGGCTCGTTGGGGAGTGTCCTTCTGCAGCGCCATCCTCTTGATTATTTTGCACTTTATTCAGGGATTGTTGGGTGATGAACACTAGCATCTAAGAAATACAGAAAAACGAACCAGCCCACACGCTGGTCCTTGAAGCCACACCTCCTCCTATTACCCAGCACTCCTTGCCTAAGTGGTCACGGGATATGAGTCTGATCCTTGCCTCAGTGGTTATGGGATATGAGTCTGATCCTTGCCTCAGTGGTTATGGGATACAAGTCTGATCCTTGCCTAAGTGGTCATGGGATATGAGTCTGATCCTTGCCTAAGTGGTCATGGGATATGAGTCTGATCCTTGCCTCAGTGGTCATGGGATATGAGTCTGATCGAAGCTGCTGCCTAGCTCAGCCCCACAGTCCCCAGGAAAGCCAGAGAGCATCCTTGCCTTCCCGCTGCCTGGCACACGAGTTAGTTTTCGTGCTGAAGCAGAGCCTCTTGATTCTCGGTGGCAGTCTGTGGAAGAAGAGTGCGCAGATACGGTTTTCAAAGATTCCTGCTGTCCTTACAGACTGGAGAGTTCACCATCGGCAGCTGTGGGAAGAGATAGGGAGGGAAAAGTTGAGCAGCATAGCCATCTGCGTCGAGGTATTTTATTTCAGGGGCAGCTTTGAGACAAAGTGCATGTTAGGAGAGGTCGAGATGGAGGGAGTGGCTGAAATTATAGACTATTGGCGCTGGAAGGGGCCTTCGCGGCGGTTCCATCCAGTCCATTTTTAAGTGAGGAAACTCGGCGGTGGGGAGGTCGACAGCTGGTTATGGCTCATCCCTCAGAGCAGCGTGGAGGCAGGAAGAGGGGTGTGGAGGCATCAAGGAGATCCTTACAAGGACGGCAGCCAAGAAAAGCCAATAGGATTAGGCCATAGAGTAAGCACAGTATTGACAGAGGGGACTAGGGACTGATTGGGCAGAACCTCCCCAGTCGCTGGACTGGACCAGGAGTCCTGACCAGAGGCAGGCTGCCCTTGTTGCTGGAGGCGCTCATTGAAGCATGTACTGGGGATTCTCATCACACTCTGCTTTCTCTCCTCATCCCCCATCTTCTCTGTGTGTGTTTTTTAAATATGTTTTTATTGATTTCAGAAAGAAAGGGAGAGAGAGAAATAGAAACGTCAATGATGAGAGAATCATTGATCGGCTGCCTCCTGCACGCTCCTACTGGGGATCAAGCCCACAACCCAGGCATGTGTCCTGACCGGGAATCAAACCATGACTTCCTGATTGGTTCATAGGTGGACACTCAACCACTGAGCCACACCAGCCAGGCTCTTCTGAATTTTCATAATCAATTAATTGAGGATTCAGCAGGCTTCTGCTGTCCAGAATGCAGAAAGGCTAGGAATGGACATGGCTCCGCTCAACCCCTTCTTGCTCATCACCTGGGTACTTGGTGGCTGAGGCTCAGGGCCCTGTGAGAGCCCCACACTAAGGAGTCTTGCTCCTCCCTTTTGTAGCCTAGGAGTTAGTAAGCGATCCTCCCGCTCTCAGCCTGTGCTGCTTGAGGAAGGAGGGAGGAAGTGACTCATCACCCAGCCTTCGTCTGTCCCCCACCGCTGACCCAGCCCTTGGAGGAGAAAAGTTTCTTCACGGGGAGCATAGGGTGGGGACCTATGACGCCAGGGTTCGAGCTGCGGAGACCAGCGCGATAGGCTCTCCCTCCTCTCTGATAGGCTCCTGTGTGCCCCATCCGGACTGTCGAGGGGAGAGTGTACACAGGTGTGTGAAGTGGGCTGGTCCCACTGCGCTGCTGTTGCTTGATTTATAATTAACCTGGGCCTGTTGGAAGGGACAGAAGTCACTCATTCAGCCTGGGCCCCGCCTGTCACAGCCAGCGGGTGAGGTGGGTAGGGACACTGTCTACGATCCTGTACTCCTCCTGGGCCCGGTGCCAGATGGTGGGCGTGGGCCCTGCCGGCCTCGATCAGCTGCACAGGCTTCTCTTGCATGGGCCTGTTGGTTCCCAGCTCCTGTGTTCAACACGCTGTGTGCACCAGCTTTGTGCTCCTGTGAGCTTTGCACTCAGGGCTGTACTGGGCAGGAGGCCCCTGCTGTCACGCCCTGTGGGGGGGTGTCTGGGTGGCAGTGAGGCTGGGGCATGGGTGTCAGCACCCACGTTGTCCAGGGCAAGGTGAGCTCTGAGGACACGGTCATTCGCCTTGCTCCTGAGAGGGTCCCTCCTCCCTGTGGGGCATCCTAAGTCACAGACCCAGTGTTAATCTGAAGGGCTTGGTGCCAGTGCTTGTCCTTGGGGGCCACCCTGTCCCCATTTGGGTTGGAGAAAGCAGAGAAGGACTCAGTGTGGGCATAGAGGCTAATAGAGCCCAGCCAGTGTGCCTCAGCGGTTGAGCATCGAACCCAAGAACCAAGAGGTCACTGGTTCGATTCCCAGTCAGGGCACATGACTGGGTTGCGGGCTTGATCCCCAGTAGGTGCATGCGGAGGCAGCCGATCAATGATGATGTTTCTCATGGATGCTTCTATCTCTCTATCCCTCTCCTTTCCTCTCTCTGTAAAAATCAATAAAAACATTTTTTTTTAAAGAAGGCTATTAGGAAGGTCGTGTGCACCCGAGGGAGGTGATAAAACACTGATAGTTCACCTCCTTTGGGGCCTTTCACATGGGCTTTAGGCCCGTGTGTTTGCTGTGCCTCCTCCTCTAGCCATGCTGCGAAGGCGGGAGTGGTCCAGGCGCACACGGTGACGTGGCCCAGTGAATAAATGAGGGGTGCACGGCATAAGCACCCGTTCCCTTCCATCGAAGACCCCTATTTCTTTCGCATTTTAACCTTCAGGGTTACAGGGTGCATTTTCCCATCTATGAACACAGTTAATGTTGTTTTTAACCCTCCTAAAAGCTGTTATTAAAGTAATGGGTACATCTTGCAGTCCGTTCTTAGAATGACACAGATGAGGATTATTTCAATTCGCCCTTTTCCCATTTCTGATGTCCATAGATTTTTTTTCCATGTTTTACCACCTGGCTTCCTGTTTCACTGTAAAACCTCCACGTTGTACATCGGCACAGAGAGTAAAGTGCAGTTTCCGCCCTGTCTGGGCCAGCCCCTCATCTCATCTCCAGGAACGATGCTGAACGTTGCCATGTTCTGTGGAGACCTGTGGTCATCTGGGACCTTCCCCCAACCCCGGGCACCACTCTGGGACTGTGGGCTCAGGACACACTTGCTTTCCCTTGAGATCTGTTTGCTGTTGTTTTTACTAAAGTCACCTTCCTGTGCCTTCTAAAATGTCTGTGGGCCGGGCCTGCCCCAAAGCCACCACAGTGTTTGTCAAAACTCCTAGAACAACACGCTAAAAGGGAGGAATTTTACGGTAGGTAAATTGTAGCCTCTATAAACCTGACTTTTTAACAAAATCCAGCCAAACTGCACTCGTTCAGGTTTGTGGCTGCTGTTGCAGTATTGTCTGCAAAGTATCGGAAGCAACCTCAGTGACATTCAAGAGGGGACTGGATAAATGGATTATGATACTTGCAAATGATGATATATGATCGATCTCTGTGAAATGGAGCTAGATAGATCTGTACACCTGCTGTGAAGTATCTTTAAGATGTTGCATCAAGTGAAGAAGAGCAATATTACAGACAGCGGGCAGATTTGCTTTTTCGTGTATATGTTTGCACGGTGTTTGTTGGTTTGTTTGGCATATCCCAAGAAGGATGAGTGAGAAATTGCCGCAATGGTTTCCTCTGAGGGCCTGGGTGCTGAAGGCCGGGGAGAAGGAAGACTTCGTTGGCTGTATACACCGTTTGTTTTTTTGTTATCCTGACTCAAGGGTATTTTTCCATTGATTGTTAGAGAGTGGGCGGGAGTGGAGAGGGGGGGGGGAGAAGCAGCAATGTGAGAGAGACACGTCGATCGGTTGCTGCTTGAATTCGCCCTGACTGGGGCCAGGGATTGAACCTACAACCCAAGTACCTACCCTTGACCAGGAATCGAACCCATCACCCTTCAGTGTGCAGGCCGATGCTCTGTCCAATTAGCCACACCAGCCAGGGCTGTACACTGTTTTTGCATTTAAATTGTTTTCATTGTGCAGATATCGTCACTTCGAGAGGTAAATAAAAATAAAATGATGCCGAAACCGGTTTGGCTCAGTGGATAGAGCGTCGGCTTGCGGACTGAAAGGTCCCAGGTTCGATTCCGGTCAAGGGCATGTACCTTGGTTGCGGGCACATCCCCAGTAGGAGATGTGCAGGAGGCAGCTGATCGACGTTTCTCTCTCATCGATGTTTCTAACTCTCTATCTCTCTCCTTCCTCTCTGTAAAAAATCAATAAAATATATTTTAAAAAAAAATAAATAAATAAAAAAATAAAAAAAATAAAATGAATTGCTTTGAGATAGCTAGCTTGCCAGCTAGACAGACAGACAGGTAGGTAGTAGGTAGATGCAAGCCCAGGGGTTCTGGGATGAATGGCATTGACCTCCAGCCTATTTGTTTCTCGATTTCAGGCCCATCATCTGAGCCGCCTCACTCGCCCACCAACAGTGGGAAGAAGCTCTTTGCTCCTGTTCCATTCCCTTCGGGCTCCACCGAGGACGTGTCCCGCAGCAGCCCCCTGCAGCCCCCGCCCCTCCCCCAGAAGAAGTTAGTGAGCCGGGCGGCCTCTTCACCCGATGGCTTCCTCTGGACCCAGGGCTCCCCCAAGCCGAGAGCAGCAAGTCCCAAGCTGAACCTCAGCCACTCAGAGATCAACGTCCGCGCGCATGAGGAGTCCCACTTCGGCCACGGGAACCGCCACCATCACGCCTTCTCTTCGGAGCCTCTGGAGAAAACTTTCAAAGGCAATGGCCACTGGGTCCCAGCACCGGGGCTGGCAGGTGGCAGAAGCGGCAGCGGGAGCCCCAGCCTCCAGTGCAAGGGGGTGCCCTCGGCCTCATCCTCCCAGCTGAGCGTGGCCAGCCAGGCCTCCACCAGCAGCAACCAGCTCCAGCTCCACAGTCTGCTGAGTAGCATCAGCAGCAAGGAGGGCACCCACGCCAAGCTGGTGGGGCTCTACGCCCAGTCCCTCATCCGCCTTGGGGCCAAGTGTGAGGACCTGTTCATGGGCCGCCAGAAGAAGGAGCTGCACTTCAATGAGAACAACTGGTCGCTCTTCAAGCTGACCTGCAACAAGCCCTGCTGTGACTCGGGGGATGCCATCTACTACTGTGCCACCTGCTCCGAGGACCCCGGCAGCACCTACGCTGTGAAAGTAGGTACCACCCTCCTAATCTGCAGCACAGCCAGCTGGTCCTGGCTTTGGCGGGATTGTGGCTGGAGCAAGTCCTCCTGCCTCTACAGGCTTCGGGAGGAGGGTTGAGTCCGAAGGTCCCTTTCAACACTTAATGTTTAGTTATCTCACTCTCTGCCTGGCGAAGGGCACGGTGCAGAGATTTGCACTATGAATAGATGATTCATTCTATGCTTCCAGGTATGAACTTAGGTGATCTCGTCGGATTAAGATAGCAGTTGCCTTTTAATGCAACAGAGAGTTCCTTCATTTATTCAGTGGGTTTTTACTGAGTGCCTACAATGGGCCAAGTATTTTGTCAAGGTCTGAGTATACCAGAGGTGGACATAAGATTCCTATGGATCTTATAATCTAGCATAGAAGATGGACAGTTAGGGTATTGTCCTTCAGATAGAGCCAGGAGACTTCGACCTAGAACAATAAGGGTAAGAGCATTGACTGAGCATTCACTACACAACTAGACTCTTTTCTGGCTGCATTAACTACATGACCTTGAATCCTCACAGGGTGGGAAGGTTTCACAGATGATGACTCTGAAGCTTAAAATGATTAAGTAATTTGCCCATAGTCAGCTGGTGGCTGAGATGAATGCTTTGTCTTGTCTATGTTACCGTCATGTCAGTTAAGACAAATGAAGTTCGGAGAAGCTAAGTGATTAGTCCAAGGGAACACAGCTCTTTAATCTTTGCCACTGGATCAGGGCTGTTGCTGCCACACCCCACTGCTCTCTCAGGGCGCAGTTCCGAGCCAGCTGGTTGAGTGTCTGCACACATCTGGCCATTTGGATCTTGGCCACTGACTTGAGTCTAGTGTGACTTCTTTCTTCATCTCCTTTTAGTGGCCTTGACTGACTGGTGGGTCTATGGCCCGTCTGTAAATGTAGGCTTTTGGTTGGGAATGAGGAGGGGAACCCTGAGCTCTCTTTTGCCATCATCTGTCCCAAGATATTAGAAAAAATGTAAATAGTGAACGAATGTGAAATAGCCTTGATGGGGCAGCTTCCTACTTATGAGTGAAATTTTTTTTAAAAGATTACAATTATTAGCCAAGGAAAATAGCAATGAATTTTACGTTGAGATTTTTCTTTTAAGAAATTAGTAACACCACCCTAAATTATAGATTGGGAACTGCTGATTTCTATGTCCAAGGAACTGTATATAATTATCTGCTGCCTTCCTATGAAAAAATGAGGGAGGGGTGGCTACTAGGAAGATCCAGTTATTGTACAGAAATCAAGGCCCTGGAAGACTAGGGGCTGTGGCCAGATGGTGGGCACTAAACGGAAGAAAGCACAAAGGTCAGGAATGAGAGTTCGTGGACTTCCTGAACTTCATTGCCTCTTTATATCTAACCCCAGCCGCTACTCCCTTGGTAAGGTCCCTTCCCTGCCTCGCCCCCAACCACGATTAAAAGAAGAAGAAAAAACAATGCTGGCATTTCCCCTCCTATTGGGATGGTGCTGCATCCAGTAAAGGAAGAAGTGAGTGGACCCTCCAGTGAACTGAATGTGATTAGCCCCTGACCACCTTCAGCCCAGAGCCAGGGATCTGTATCCACCCAATGAAGGGAACGTAGATTTGAGATGCCTGAATGCCAAGGGGGTGGAGGCACCTTTAGGAAGTTCATTTTCACTAGCCCCAGTGAACCTGAGGAAGGGAGCTGTGAATCCTCCCTCTGCGTCCGCCTTTCTGGTTCAAGTGCATCCGTCATTCTCCTCATCTCCTGGGCTGGACCTGGGCGCTCTTTCACTGTCAGGTGACAGCTGACCTCTCCATCGCGAGAAGGAAAGAGTGGAAGAGGCCTCGTCCCTCTTGCCCCTGGGGTTAAAGCGATGTGACCCTACTGCTAAGAACCAAGCGGCCCCCGGCACAAGATCTGCCAGGGTTCGGGGTTTTATACACGTAAGTGACTGTGACGTGCAGCTTGCATTCTAGAACCTCCTGTCATAATGTAGAATCGGCTACGTTCTCTGATGGCCAGTGCAGAAAATCCAGCTTCCCCAGAGGATGTTAAAGGGATTGCTTCTCATTTTGGTAGGAAAGTAAACGGTGAGGGAACGGGAAGATCGGCCTTGGTCTTCGAAGAAAGAGGGGCCTGCGTGTCCCCCATCTGATTTTGCCAGACACTTGGCAGTGCAAGGATTACCTCTGTACCGTGGAGAAGGAGCTTTGGAAAAGAGCCTGAAATGTTCAGAGATGGGGAACAACAATATCCGTTTGCACATGTACCCGGCCTGGTGCTGGGGGCGGCGGGCAGGGCGTGGAGCATCATTTCCCACGTGCAGCTGTTCCACCTCATTAGCTGCGTGGTCTAGACGGGAGTACAGTCGTCTGGCCTTCGCGAGCAGGGGAGCGGGTCCCCCTTCCGGAGCCTGTCTGTCGCCGAGCTCATTTCATCTGCGCCTGGTGAGCAGGAGCCTCGGTTGGGAGCCTCGTGAACAAAGGCCGGCTCGCACCTGCTCCCACTAATGCTGGGCCGTGGTTCTTGCAGCAGCAAGGAGAGGAAGGCAGAGAGGAAGGCTGCTCCGTAGCCCTGCTCATGCATATAGGGCAGGCAAAAATCATAAACTGCGTGTGAGGCTTCAAAGCCCAGTTCATTCCTCAGCCACCTAGAGCTTCAGTTGTGTAATTAGGGACCTGTGTTGAGCCAGCTGGGCCTTTATTTCTTATTGAACAGACGTGACTTAGCCCAGATTCTCAACAGTGAATGAGGCCCAGGCTGCAAAGTTTAAAGTGAGACTTGGCTCAACAAAACGTTTGAAATGTGAGCTGAATCAAAGGTTTGTGTGAATGTCTTGGGCCAAAAAACCCAAGGGCGGACCCCTGAAAATGAAATGAGGGGGTGGGGCAGATGGGGATGGGAAGAAAGCCGCCTGCCCCCCTTCCTGTCCCCTGTCCCTCTTCCCAGCTGTCTGTGCAGCCAGGTGACCCGCTCACTGATTTTTGAACCACATCCAGCCCAGTTGCCATTGATGCTGCTCCTTCATCTACATCTCTGTGCAAACTGTCAGCCGCTCCACTGGGAGTGTTCGCGGGGCCCAGGCCTTTGAGACCCTGGAGAAGGGGATCCTTGGAAACGTTTCCCATGCCCCGGGCAGCTGCGCCCTCCGGTTGGTATAATAACCTACATACCAGCTCTGGGGGAGTATGCACTGAGCATGGTTGCAGCCAAACCTGCCAGGGCAATCACCATAGCAACCTTTCCCAGCGACTGCTCACCTGGGCTGGGCACAGTGCTGAAAGCCACACCCGTGTTGTGTCATTGAATGCTCCCAGTGGCCTGCGAGGAAGGAGCTGTTACTGCCCTATACACAGAGGAGAAGGCAGACTTCTGAGATAAATACCATCAGTCCTCACTATATGGATTCCATGTTGTGATTTCACTGCTAAAACTTATTTGTAACTCAAATCCTATGGCATTTTTGTGGTCATTTCTGGACATGCACGGAGTGGGGAGGATTGGAATCACCCAGTCTGCAAATTCCCAGCAGAGGTGGCACAAGGGGGCGCTCCACCTAGTTTCAGCTCCCACTGTCAACAGTGTCCCTTCCGTGGTCTAGTTACTGCCTCATTCTTCACATTTTTGGGCTTGTTGGTGGTGATGTTGCTGTTTAAATGGCCGGGCTGATCGCGGAGGTCCTGTCTAGCGCTCCTAAGTGCTGTGGTGTGCCCTTGGGAGAGTATTGGACCAGCTTCGTTCAGGCAGGAGGCAAAGTGCCGTTGGCCATGATTGCACTGTTAATGAATCAACAGTATCTGTTAATGAGGTATCTTTAAACAGAAACCCACATAAAACAAGGTTATATATTCGCCAGCTAATGAAAATGTTGTAACCCGAGGCTTGCTAGAACTTCCCTTTGCATTTCCTTTGGGAGCAGTGGTTCAGTATTCGTTAATTCAGTGTGTGTGTGTGTGTGTGTGTGTGTGTGTTCTTAGAACAGAACTGGTGCAAGAACCAGGCGCGCTGGTGACTTGTCAGTGTTTGCAGAGTTTGTATTTAAACCAAGGTCTCTTGCACTCTCAAGCCCGTGCTTTGACCTCTCAAGTTCTTGCCGGTTGTATAATCTTGAGCAAATTGAACCTCTTGGACCCTCGGTTTCCTCTTCTGTAATACCGTCTACCTCATTTGATGGTTTGAGATTTAATGAGACTTAATCTGTAGAGGGCTGAGTAGACACAGTGCCTCGCACACGCAGGAGTTCAGTAGGTGGCCATGTGGTTGAGATACCCTCACTGGAGGGAGTGACCAGACATCAGCACTGCGTTTCCCACGTCCTCATAGATAGCGCCGCAGGCCGGCCCATGCGCAGTGGTTGGTATTTACAGACAAGGCTATTTATGAGGACCACTCCCCTAAATTTTCTTTAGGTTAATAGTGTTCCAGAAGCCAGCCATTTATTTCCTTATTTGTAATAGCTATATATTTTTTTTTTATTTCAGACAGGAAGGAAGAGGGAGAGAGAGAAACATCCATGATGAGAGAGAATCATTGACCGGCTGCCTCCTGCATGCCCCACACTGGGGATCAAATCCACAACTGGAGCCTGTGCCCTGACAGGGAATCCAACTGTGTGACCTTCTGGTTCATAGGTCGACGCTCAACCACTGAGCCACACCAGTTGGACAGAAGCCGGCCATTTAAAAGCTAAAGATAGTTGAATAAGAAAGAGCCTGCAACAATGCCCTTTAGACAAGCTATTCCAAAATCATGTTTGCTGGTATAATGGAACCAATGTCTGGGATAAATGCACTTCCCTTCTATTTCTATTCCACTTCTATAGCAGATAAATTATTAGATTAATGTGTTACCTCCCCCGCCGCCCAATTAAGTTGATAAAAGTTTCCTAAGAGGCTGAACTCTTTTATCCCAGGTTTCGTGCTGAGAGGTTTCTATAGCTGCAGCATAAATAAATCTCTGGGGAAAGTGCTTGCTGTGGAACTTCTAGAAACAGCACCTGTGAGCATCATGGCACATTGAGACCATTGTAGTCACCTGAGTGGGGCCGCACAGCCGCCCGAAGGGTTATTCTGGGATTGTCCGCAGGACGTTGTTTCCTGGGTGGATGCAAGAAGCCTTTCTTCTGGGGATTACACACTGATCCTTACCTTCTATAAAGCAAGGCTGAGGCTGTGCACTAGCCTTTGGGAGAGGAGATCACAGACCATCTTCAGTCCCTTTCAGTGTAATTACAGGGCACTGGAGGCCCAGGGTGTCTGGCTCAAGGCTCTCCAGTTGTGTGGCGACCCAATGAGGATTAGTGCGGCTAAAGGTCCCGGGTGGCCGGCATTGTCATTAGTACAAAAAGATGTGGAAGAGACGGTTGTGGGGATTCCCCAGAGGAGCTTGAGATCACCTGTTTGTTTATTCCTACTTTCCTCTCAGAGGATGCCTTTGGCCCTTTGGGTTCCCCGGCCCTGGAGAGCTTTCTGTTTTCCTTCAGCCAGTCTGACTCACATAGCAGTTTCATTGAAGTCAGCCCTGCAGGTCATGCCAGCTAGTAGGCAGTGCATGCGTACCTGGATCTAGAAACTAGGCAGTCTCAGAGAACGTGGCCAAGGCCCAGAAGCTTAGGGCCTGCATCTGCCCCTGAGCTTCCCAAGAGGGAGGCACCCCCGTGGTCAGGCAGGTCTCCTGTCAGGTAGCTGCCCATTCAGGTGCTAGGGGTGGGCAGCAAGGCTGACTGCCTGTCGGCTCTGAGCTGGCTTCCTGCGAATTTGTCCACCGTGGGCCGAGGGAAGTCTTCCTACCAATACCAGGGGGCCACACTGTATGTTGTTGCTCTGGGACCCCACTCTTAGTGGGTTGTGTGATCATTTTACTTTTAATTTTTTAAGAAATTGCCAAACCGTGTTTTGAAGTGACTACACCGTTTTTTACAAACCACCAGCAATACATCAGTGTTCCCATTTCTCCACATCGTCATAGACACTTGCTATTGTCTGTCATTTTTCTTACAGCCATTCCAGCGGGCGTCAGCCAGTATCTCACTGTGGGTTTGATTTGCATTTCCCTAATGACTCATGATGTTGAACATCTTTCCATGTGCCTATGGTCATTTACATATTTATTTGGTGAAAATGCCTGTTAATATCTTTGCCCTACTTTTTCATTGGGAAGTTTATCTTATAACCGAGTGGTAAGAGTTTTTTTGTAGAACTCATTTATCAGATATGTGTCTTGCACATATTTTCTCCCAGTCTGTTGCTTGCCTTTCTTTTTTTCTTAAAGGTATATTTTAAAGCATAAAAGTTTTGAATTTTGATGGGGCCAAACTTATCAATTCTTTCTTTTAGGAACCATGCATGCTTTTGGTATGCCACCAGATGTCTTTGCTCAACCCAAGGTCTCAAAGATTCTCGCCTAAGTTTTCTTCTAACATGTGTATGTTTGGGCCCTTACACCTGAGTCTCTGTGACCAGTTTGAGTTCATTTGTGTGCGTGGCGTGAAGTAAGATTCAGCTCACCTTTTCACGGGGGGGATTTCCAAATGTCCCAGCGCCGTTTGTGGAACAGATGATGGCTCCCCCTCTTGACCTTACCCCCCTTTTTCCCCGCAGATCTGCAAAACCCCGGAGCCCAAAGTGGCCTCCTACTGCAGCCCGGCTGTGCCTGTGCACTTCAACATCCAGCAGGACTGCGGCCACTTCGTGGCCTCGGTGCCCTCCAGCATGCTCGCCTCTCCGGACGCACCCAAGGACCCCGCGCCCGCCCCGCCCGCTCCGCCCCCGGCCCAGGAGCAGGACTGCGTGGTGGTCATCACCCGCGAGGTGCCCCACCAGACGGCCTCCGACTTCGTGCGGGACTCGGTGGGCAGCCACCGGTCGGAGCCCGAGGCCTACGAGCGGCGTGTGTGCTTCCTGCTGCTGCAGCTCTGCAACGGGCTGGAGCACCTGAAGGAGCACCGGGTCATCCACCGGGACCTGTGCCTGGAGAACCTGCTGCTGGTGCACTGCGCCCCCCAGGCCTCCCCCGCCCCCCCTGCCTCCTCTGCCTCCGCCAGCGCCCCTCCCTCCGCCGCGTGCACTGCCCCTGCTGCCGGTCCTGCCCCTGGCCCCTCCACCGCCCTCCCCGCCAGTGTCACCCCCAGCCCCCCAACGGCCCCCACCTGTGAGGGGGTGCCCAGTGAGAAACACCTGCCCCGGCTCATTATCAGCAACTTCCTGAAGGCCAAGCAGAAGCCGGGCGGCACCGCCAACCTGCAGCAGAAAAAGAGCCAGGCCCGGCTGGCCCCCGAGATCGTGTCCGCCTCCCAGTACAGCAAGTTCGATGAGTTCCAGACAGGCATCCTCATCTACGAGCTGCTGCACCAGCCCAACCCGTTCGAGGTGCGGGCCCAGCTGTGGGAGCAGGACTACCGGCGGGAGGACCTGCCGCCCCTGCCCACCCTGTCCCTCTACTCGCCCGGCCTGCAGCAGCTCGCCCACCTGCTGCTGGAGGCCGACCCCATCAAGCGCATCCGCATCGGGGAGGCCAAGCGGGTGCTGCAGTGCCTGCTGTGGGGGCCGCGGCGGGAGCTGGTGGAGCAGCGGGGCACCTCGGAGGAGGCGCTGAGCAGCGCGCTGCACAACTGGATCGACATGAAGCGCGCCCTGATGATGCTGAAGTTCGCGGAGAAGGCCGTGGACCGCCGGCGCGGGGTGGAGCTGGAGGACTGGCTCTGCTGCCAGTACCTGGCGTCCGCGGAGCCCAGCGCCCTCTTACAGTCCCTCAAGCTCCTGCAGCTTCTGTGAGCGCAGCCCCGGCCTGCACTTGAGCTGCCCTTTCTGTGTCTGCCCCCTTCGCTTCCAGCCCCTTCCTGGTGTCCGTCCTGACCCCCGTGCCCTGCCTGCCTCAGAAAACTTCGTGTCTCCCTGGGAAATGGTACAGTGACTGTCCTACTTGGATGTAATGTGTATATCAAGTGTATAAATGTAAAAGGCTGAGGGTGTCGTTGCCGCCTGGGGCCGCCTCTGCTCCCCGGGGCTCCTGGTTTCTCCGCTGTGATGCACACTGTAGCTCAGTGCAGGTCCTGGGGACAGTACGGTGCTGCCAGCAGAACGAAGCCTGGACTCTGGCTCGCTGCCCCATCGTGGGAGCTCTTCACCTTCCCGTCCAATTGTTATTTAAAAAAAATTGTATTAAAAATTTTTTGATTGACTCACGAGCAAAGCTCTTTTATCCCCAAATGTCCAAGTGCATTACTGTCTTTGGTGGGTAGAACTGAATACAAGACCCTGAAGCAGTGGATGGGCCCCCTGGAGTGGGCCTGGTCTTACCCTTCTCATGATAGAGCAGCAGGCCTCCCCGGGCTTGGCGGGGCCAATCTTCCCCGCTTCTCCCCCTGGCCGCCTCAGAGGAATCTAGATGAGGCTGGTGTGGTCCTACAGATTGGGGATTCCATCTCACTGCCCCAGACCATTTCCACGTGGCTAACGCTGGTTACCATTTGTATTGGTGAGAGGCCTGGCTGAAAATAGAATCCACTCCAGATAGTTCCAATGTAAGAACCTTAGAAAGGTGTGGGCAAGGTTAAGGGAAGAGACAATGATGAGGCAAAGGCTGGCATGGGAGAACCACCTAGTCGCTCTGTTGCCACCTGTCATCTCCAGGCCAAGACCAACGGGACAGCAGACAGCCAGGGGGCTTGGGTGATGCCCTGGGCAGGATCACCTCCCCGCACAGGGAAAGGGGATGAACGGTTGGGGTGGCAGTGGGCACACGGCTCGCTGTTCTTACTGAACTAGATCATGGCAAGGCAGCAACGGAACTCAGGCTCTCACTCCCAGATCAGCGCTCTGCTGTTCTAAGCTCCTTCTGGTTTCCAGTTTTAAAAACGCATGCGCTTAACCCTATTGGCATCTACTATCTACTATAGTCAGTGTGTTACCATGCCTTTAAAATGCACAGAACTAGGGAGCACCAGGACTTTCCTCTTCAAAGTGACACGAGGTCAACCATTACTCATTTGAAGGAAAACAGCCCCAAGGCCCACGTATTCTTATCGAAAGGATAATCTTCCAATTTCCCAACTGATTTCTAAAACCGTGTTGATAATTATGGACAATTTGAAACAAAGGCAAAGATTTTAATGGATGTCCTAGAAACCTGGGGATGTGGCTAGCAAGCAGGGTGGGGAAATCTGCCAGATCCCCGTCTGCATGGTAATGTCAGTGCTTTTGCAAGCTCCGCCTTCCTGCCTGGGACTGTAGGGAAACATCCACATTTCCTTGCATCTGGGTGAAGACGGCACCTGTGGTCACATTTCTTTTTCTTTTTCTTTTTTTTAAAATATATTTTATTGAATTTTTACAGAGAGGAAGGGAGAGGGATAGAGAGCTAGAAACATCGATCAGCTGCCTCCTCCACACCCCCTACTGGGGATGTGCCCAAAACCAAGGTACATGCCCTTGACCGGAATCGAACCTGGGACCCTTCGGTCCGCAGGCCAAGGCTCTATCCACTGAGCCAAACCAGTCAGGGCAGTCACATTTCTTATTTCAATTGTTACTTGAGCTTTCAGGAAAGAACTGGCTGAAACCTGCTTCCAAATATGTTTTTGTACAAGAGAAAAGAGTCTTTGAACAATGGAATTGTAATTCTCCACAGGACCTAAGTTTCAGAGGGCATTATTTTGTCAGTTGTTAGTTCCTGAGAATTTCCCACGCAAACCCTCCACTTTGGATTTGCTGCCCTGCTCTCTTGTCCTTTCTCACTTGGGGGAAATAAACAATGGGGAGGGAGGAGACAAATATTCCACCAGGGGAGTGCGGTGCCATTTGGAAACACATGTCTCAAAGGCACATTTTAAATCTCTGAATTAATTGCACTTTTTTATATGCCACCCGCTTCATGGGGAACGGGAGGAGAGATTGTAAAAAAGTTTTTAAGAACCAAAATGAACCAAAAAGTAAAAATGCGGGGGTGGGGAGGGGGGAGAAACTAAGCAATAAATTCTGATTGAAAAGAGTGCTAGCCATCAAACAAAACGTCCTTCTGAGCTTTCCACCAAGAAAGGAAAAGTAGAAGACAGTTGATGGCACAATTCTGTGTGTCATTTTAGGAAACAGTTCAGTTCGTCAGGGGGAAGAAACCCATTCCCAGCGCTTGGTTCTGAAATCGATTTGTCAAGGACTTTCATGTTTACAGACATTTTTCTAGATGGGGCAATTTCTTATACCCATCACCGGTGAACGCCAACTGGGCCAGTTCCATCAAGGAGGTTCTCTAGGGTAGAAACCATTCATCTCCATGGGTTGGCTTTTCCCATCAATGGTAAGCCATGTGGGTCCTGTGGCTACAAATACTAGGTTTGGCAGACAGCTCCAGTCACACTAAATTCAGGGGCGCAATATAACTTCTTTTGTAACTTCAAAATACACCTGGGATGCATGGCTTCATCTCACAGAAAGCTCAGCACCAACTAGATTAAGTCCAGAAACAACAGCGTATTCCACAGGACTGAGGTTCTGCAGTAAGCGTATTAAATAACCAGATGTTATGATGACAGTCTCATAACATCTGGTTATTTAATACTCCTGGTATCTGTGAGTTCATCTTTTTTCTTGGCTTTAGATCCAACTACTGGTATTGAAATCTTGTGGTTCTTTTTTTCTCTCTCCCGCTCTGAGTCAAGTCGCCCCCATATCCTCTTCACATTTGTAATTTCTGTTGTTAGCGTGCCTTTCCCTTTTCCATGCCAAGATGTGGATTCTTTTTTTTCTTCTCCTAAATTCTTTCCTGTAGGCGTTATGAAGCTGTACATCTGAATTGTTATACCCTTGCCAGAAGCAAAGATAAGCACTTCAGAGATTATTTATTTATCATAACCCATGGCTCAGATCTGAAAAGATGGAGCTCTGGGGAGCTGTAGTTCTGTGTAACACTTCCTGGTTTTCAAGAACTTAGGGCTGAAATACCCTCTTTTGTGATGTCCACATGTCCACCAAACAATTAGGAGTGTTTTGAAGAGGAAAGACCCATGTTACTTGAATAACTTCTCCAAAATTTGTTCTTTAAATATATAGCCAATAAATGAGGCAGCCCTTCCCCACTCTGCTGAATAGCTATAAATCCTTGAAGACCTAAAGATAAACTTATTAAATAACTCTTATTAAAAACTGGTAGCTTTGTAATGTAAAAATCTGCTTGGCATATTTAATAAAGAGTGATGTGAATGGAATTGATTCATTAGAAACCCAAATCTAACCCAACTGATGTCATTGCTAAAAATAAAAGACAAGAATAACACATTTGGGGGAATTTCCGTGGGGTGAATGTCTTGACAAATTACTCTTTCTTTCCTTCTCTTTTCCAATGCTAATTAATGAGGGTAAAGGACAGCAAAGTAGAACTATTCCTGGCAGAAGATATCCTAGGAGGATTCGTGCCCTGGGAAGGAGGTTATGAGCTAGCCTGATGGTCCAAAGAAAAGGAGTCCAAATTAACCCAAACATCATTGATTTAGGGGAACCTGGGATTGGGCCAGAACTTCCATGATCAATTTGAATCCTTACTGGATCCTGGATAGTCAGTCTTCTCTGATTTGCATCTTTTCTCCTAGGACTTGACTACATCTATTCCACTTTCTGGAGTGGAGAAAGCAAAAGTCAAGTTTACTCAGGATTTTTCCGCATACCAATAGCTGACTTGGTATTGGACTACCTCAGTGGGGACTTGAACATATACACTTATCACATATTCTGAATTCTGGATTAAAATCTTTCTGGATCCTTTACTGGATGTCATTACAGCTATCTCCTACAAAAACACTGTACTGAACACTAGATGTGGTTAGACTATCAAAACTTTTATGTATAGTATTAGGACTTAAAGATTATTCTACAGAATCCTGACATAATACATCATTAGGGATAATCAGGCATGGAGATAGGTTGAGAGAACTAAGCAAGGAGGTTTAAGGAGAGAAGAGAAGGTAGGAAATGAGAAAACAAGATTCAGAGACAAACCACCTGCATTACATTGTCCTGAACCCAGCTCTGATAAATTCCCACAACCTCCAAAAGGCTAGTCACAGATCTTAGTCCAGACATGCTTCAGTAACAAAAAAAATACCACAGACTAGATGGCTTATAAACAACAGAAATTCATTTCTCACAGTTCTGGAGGCTGGGAAGGCCAAGATCAAGGTATCAACAAATTCGGTGCAAGCCCACCTCCTGGTTCATCGACGGCCGTATTCTTGCTGTTTGCTCAAATGGCAGAAAGGGCAAGAGATTTCTCAAGGGTCTCTTTTATAAGGGCACTAATTCCACTCACGAGGACTCTACCTTCATGATCTAATTACTTCTCAAAGGCCCCACCACCTGATACTATCACATTGGGAATTATGTTTCAACATTCAGATTCTGGGGGGACACAAACATTCAGTCTATAGTGTCACATTTGTCAACCCCTCCCTGGGATCATACAAATACTTATATGTCTATTCAAAGATTTCCAGGGACGAGGAAGCTATAGGACTCTAGATTGTGTAGATTTCCATTTCAGAGCTTTTTTCAGATTCTTTAAAAGCCAGAAAAGCTTTAACATTTGTGCCCTTTATTTATGTCCTTTATTTCCTGACCATTTCCATCATCATGATGGAAGCAATTCTCAGCCTTACTGGTTTTATTTTGAGTATGTAAAATATAACATGTCACTAACACCAAAACGATTTTAAAAAATACTCAGGTCAGGGAAGTATCACTCCCCCTTACCCTATCCCCATTCCTCCACCCTTTCCACCCTGCTCCCACCCATTAATTCATTAATTCATCCAACTTTCAAAGATCCCCCACTGGTATTGTTTCTTGGTTCTCAGGACAACACATTTTATTTCCATTGGAAGTTACCACTGTCTTTCCTCCCAGATGGAAACCTTGAGACTTGCCCCCAAACCGCAGTCAGCATTGGCAGCAGACCCCTGAGTTAAAGGAAGAAATTCATCCTTAGACCCTTATTCATTCATGGAGTGACGCTGCTAGGCCCTGCACTTGAAACCCAATGCTTCTTTGATAAACTATACCTGGCTCCCTTACAGCAAACTCAACCTGGGAACTATGGCCAGGTCTCAGAGGAAAATACTTCCAGATGATCTTCCAGAAAGATGTTGAAGAAAGAAAGAGATTGTGCTCCTCTGTGGCTTGGCTTTCCTGAAG